TCCTGGCCGGTTGTTTACTTTTGTAACGTTTTATGATGGGGTAGATTTGGCAGTCATCGAAGCCTCATCAAGAAGCCGCATCTAGCTGCCACTGATGGGGTAGATTTCGCAGTCGACGAAGCCTCGTCTAGCGGCTTCCCTGTAGTTTACGAGTCGATGCCGTAGCTGACTCAATGGCAGTGTGATCATGCCATTGCCGCTGTGCCTGTAAGTTTCGAGCGGAGACGGAACTTCGTAGTAATAAAATAAATACGCACAGCTAGGAATGATTTTGTATACCATGTTTGTATGGTGGCATGATGTAATACGTGAATCCTCCTACGAAGGATATCATACATCATGGTTCAAGTGGGACTTCGTGTTCTGTCTCACTGCTTCGCGCACCTGACGACCCATTAGTGTGCATGACGCCGTTGAATCCTCTGTGTATATGTTTGGCTGGAAACTGATAGCCTGGACTGCTTTTCCTTATACGTGCACCTTGCGTATATTCTGCCCCAGCGTGTCGCCTAAGGTCTGCTGCTATAGAGAAATCAACTTTTATATTCTTGCCCCAGAGTTCATTGATCTGAAGCAGTGAATGCGACCGATCTACGAACACCGCAGCCAGTGATGCTGTTCTCGTCGTCATCACCACCATCGATGCTTGCACAAAACGCGCTTTTCCCATCACCATAGCCATCGTCAATCGGCAAGTGTCCGAGCTATCACATTAGATTTTGCCTGCGCAAGGCTTCATCATCCTTTTCTTGTCCCTGTCCTCCCTCTTTCAACGCCGCAGTGCCTAGTACTGCCTACCTCTGAGTCAACCCTTTTTTTTTTTTTTTCCAATCTTTTTCTCTTTTACTTTCTCTTGTCTTTGCCTTCACGTCCCTTTTGTTGTCCTCGCTACTCTGTTTATTCCTCTGTTCTTCACTCTCTTCCATCTCCTCCCTGGCCTTGTGTTTTCTTGTCATCGAGTGCTCCACCCCTTGCACACTCCTTTCTTTATCCCACCTTCCCTCGCCTCTTCCTCTTTTCCCCTCCCCCTCCCATTCTCCCCCCACTCCCCATCCTTTTGCCTTCCCCCTTCCCTCCCCGCTGCCTTGCCCCAAGGTGCACAAATGCACAATTCTGTCCGCTCTTCCGATCCACCGATGCTCCAGCCATGAAAAAGAAACCACTACCACTGCTCCTACCCGTATCCGTAGGTTTCATCCTGTGTCCTTCACACTTATCTTTCCTCGCCTCCTCTCACCTACTTTCCCTTCTCTATTCTCTTGTGTGTATGTTCATTTCGCCTCGCCCCGTTGTCTGCTTTGCTCCCTTCCTTTTGTCCATTGATCTCCTTTCTCTCCTCTCATTCACCCGTCCATCTCCTTGGCTTTAATGCCTTGTCCTTGGTATGCTTGTGAATTGCTTTGCCTTTTTCCGTTTGTCCTTCTGCTTCTCCCGATCTCCTTGCTATCCTTGTGAATTGTCATCAGGCGTTTGTTTCCTCCTTTCTCCTTATTGTCACTCTTCAGTAACTTTTGATTCCTCAGTATTTTGCTGCACCACCTGTCCACTCTTCCGAGCCCCCCTCCTCCTCCCCCCGCACCTCACCCTCTTGTCTTGTTCCCTCCCTCCTGAGTACCCCTGAGCGTATCGTAGTAGTTGTACCTGGCAGCAGAGATCC